TCCATACCTGCTTCATACCCTGGAGGACGGGGCTGTGGCCCCCCCACACCCTCTAGCAGATTATTACATGAAGGAACCTTTTAAAAAAAAAAACAAGCGCGTCCATGCTCACAGGTGTACACACGGGTGATCACACCCACAAACTACACCCTTTTTGGCTCCTACCTCAAAGCACACTGTGTTCTGTTGATCTTATGTGCTGCACAATAATGTTTAATATTTAGTATTTACTGTCATATTCCCATATATCATTGTGATGTTGTTTATTCTATTACTCTTGTTCTCTTCTGCTTGCTTTCTTTTTTCTTTCTCAGCAGGTGACCCAGGTGATTGATATATGCATTTTTTTTCTCTGCCCGTTCTGTTGGTTTTTGTCTTTTGCCCTTCTCCCCCGTCCCTCTTCTCAGCTGTTTCTCTTTCCCTCTTTCTTTCTCCCCTTCTTTCCCCCAGTCAAGTCTGTCCCGTATTCAGTAAGTGAAAATAAAATAAACAAAAAAGGAAAAAAAAAAAAAAGAAAGTACTACAACAGTAGTAACTCACCCTTAATAGCTCTAAACAATCTAAACAATTTATTTGCTCTTGATAAAACGTTAGGCATATTAACATAAGGTCAGGAGATTGCTGTGGGGCTAAGACTGACTTGAATGATGCTGAATTTTCTGAAATCATTAATAAAATACCTACAGTATATTTGATTCTTAGCTGTAAAGTCTGGTCCCTTTATGAATAATTCCAACATTGACTATAATAAAAAAAGGGGGGAAAACTCAAAAAAAAAGGAAAAAACTAGGCAATGTAATGATCTTGAAGGACGGAAAGAGTAGGTTGAAACAGGAACAAAAGGAATGAAATGAATTCCAAGAGGTTCAGTCAGTGGGCAAAGTGCTGTGAGTAAGGCTGTTAATGATGGCTTCCTGAGATTAAGCTAATGACCTCTGCAAAGCTAGGGTTTAAATCTTAAATATTATGGGTGAATATTAAAGTACTTGGATTGTGTCTAATTCCGCATGTGGGGCAAGGATCTGTCTGGAGAAAGAGACAACAAGAGACGGCCTGGAACGTCATCTGCTCTGAGTAAGAATTGGTGGGTGACCGACAGCCACGTAAAGTGATGCATGAAGGACATGATAGATGGGGAGTTGCTTCAGCCTTTGTTATTCAAATTCAAATTCAAATTTTATTTGTCACGTACACAGTCATACACAGTACGATATGCTAGTGAAATGCTTGACAACTGCTCGTGACCTAAAGAAAACAAAAGGAAAAGGCTATGAATAAGATAGGAAATAAATATGAAAAATTAAAAAGGGTAAATTTAACTAGGAAGGAATAAAATATAAATTAAGGTTAAAAATGAAATAACTGTACAACACAAATTAGAATGAAGGGTAAATTTAACTGGGAAGAATAAGATAAAATATATAAATTAAAGTTGAAAATAAAATAACTGTACAACAAAATACACAATATAGAACTATATAAGAATGTATGAAGAAATATAAATAAATATATACACAATAACAGCAGCTGTACAAGTATTAACTGGAAATGAAGAATATAATGTCCAGTGTTGTGCAATCCACATTATGTCTTGTGCAGTGCAAATATGCTTAAAGTGATTTAAGTGATGAAGTGAAAACAATGTCCAGAAAGTCCAGTGTGTGTGTAAGAACTGTATGTGTGGGTCAGTACTGTGTGGTGGTGTGATTGAGAGACCGTATCGCCTGCGGGAAGAAGCTCCTCCTCAGTCTCTCTGTGTTGGTCTTCAGGGAGCGGAATCGCTTTCCTGACCTCAGCAGAGAGAACAGTCTGTTGTTGGGATGGCTGAGGTCCTTCACCATCTTCCTGGCCTTGGTCCAGCACCGCCTGCTGTAGATTGAGTGCAGGTCAGGGAGCTCGGAGCGGATGGTGCGCTCAGCTGACCGCACAACCCTCTGTAGAGCTCGTCTGTCCTGCATGGTGCTGTTCCCGAACCAGGTTAAGATGTTTCCCGTCAGGATGCTCTCTATGGTGCACGAGTAAAAGTTCCTGAGCACCTTGGAGGGCAGTTGGAAGTCTCTCAAGCGTCTGAGGTGGTAGAGACGCTGACGGGCCTTTTTCACCACGGTGTTGATGTGACAGGACCATGACAGGTCCTGCGTGATGTGAACTCCGAGGTATTTGAAGCTGTCCACTCTCTCCACTGGGCACTCGTTGATGACGGGGGTCTGGTAGTTCCTCTCCTGCTTAGTGCTGAAGTCCACTATCAGCTCCTTTGTCTTACTGACGTTTAGAAGGAGGTTGTTCCTCTGGCACCAGTTCTCCAGATTCCTAATCTCCTTCAGGTAGGCCGTCTCGTTGTTATCAGAGATATGTGTAGTGAATAAGGATTAATCTTTTTGACCATTTGTTCCCCCACAGCGATAACTACTGGGCCGTTCCCTAAATGGCTGAAGATGATGGGAAATAGTTTTTGAGCTACTGTGAAAATTTGGACGGCCAATTAGATGAGAACAACTTTGTCACCATAATAACCTCCAGAAACTATTGAAAAAGCAACATATTTGTAGAGCTGAATGTCATCAGCAGGACAGCTGATCATCATAAAAGAAAGGGCGATCGTGGCTCAAGAGTTGGGAGTTCGCCTTGTAATCGGAAGGTTGCCGGTTCGAGCCCCGGCTTGGACAGTCTCGGTCGTTGTGTCCTTGGGCAAGACACTTCACCCGTTGCCTACTGGTGGTGGTCAGAGGGCCCGGTGGCGCCAGTGTCCGGCAGCCTCGCCTCTGTCAGTGCGCCCCAGGGTGGCTGTGGCTACAATGTAGCTGCCATCACCAGTGTGTGAATGTGTGTGGATGGGGGATACTGGTTGTGTAAAGCGCTTTGGGGTCCTTAGGGACCAGTAAAGCGCTATACAAATACAGGCCATTTACCATTTACCAAAGTGATGCCATTCCACTTGGCAAAGACATGATGCCACATTCCAGGAAGAGCTTTACAGAATTATTGTGATTATTCACAGAACGGCCTTTTAAGAACAAAGTGTTCTTAAAAGGAAAGCAGCTGATGTTTGGTGCAAGAGTGAGCAAGTCAAAAGTTTTTGGGGGGTTTAATGTCACTGAGTTTCTCCAAGGGCATAGAAGCCTGAAACCAAATAGTGTTGAGGGTCATGCCAGGACACTACAGGGATGTCCAAGGGCCTTCTGTTTTGTCTTCTGACAAGAGATTGCTTAATTAAGTGAAAACTGACATCAGGATGGTTAACCCTTGCGCTGGAGGTGATGTGGGAGGAGATAAATCCAGGCTGATAAAAACTCGAAAATCATCAGATGGACCAGATATGATTTGATATACCTTTATTAGTCCCACAAGGGGAAATTTCATAAATTAGATATGGCAACATCTGGTAGTTGTCTTGTTGGTAATTATCCAGCACAAGGCTTTGGAAAGACAGCTGAACATTTTGGGGCTGCTGTCTTTCCAAATGTAAGCCCAACTCTAAAATAGCAAACTGCTTTCCATTTGATTCTAAAGAGGAACCTGAATTCAGGGTGGATTGGCAGGACTTTGAAGGCGCTTGTAATTTTGACTAGCGTGACCTCCGATTATTTGCATTTCAGGGAAAAGTCATCTCTAGGAATTAAGCTATTATTGTTTGGGATGAGTCTGATATCTATAATGATTTTTTTCTGGAATATTTTTTTTTTGCAGTGCCTAATAAACTGTTGAAAAAAGGCGATTAAGGAAAGGCCTAATCATGAATCCCTCGTAAACGTCTTTCATGAAAAACCTTTTATTGAAAAATTGATGAAATATGGTTTAGATAATTTTTTAAGGCTTCTTTCGTTGGTTGAATACTAATAGTAAGTCGTAATTGCTTAGTGGGAATGTGTGGGCAGGCTGGGCAGAAATGGCCACTGGAATGAAGGTAGCAACACTTTGACACTGAGCATCCAAAGTTGTTGAAATTACTGCAAATTGTGCAGTCTCTGAAGTGCATGGTGGATGTAACATTCTGATCTATACTTTGTTGCAGTAGCATGCTATCTTGCTAGCATGCTAACAATATGGGTTCAGGAGTTTTGGGAGGGCACTTGGAGCTAAGTGGGCTTTTGGGTAGGATAATGCAAGCTGTAGTTGGATGGAGGACTGAAAAACTGGAATCTGGGTGTCAGATATGGTAGCAGAGGAAAGCTGTAATGGAGGAATGGTTAAGAATGGAACTGATATTGTGGGGCCAACAGCATAGACTGAATTAGAGGTAAGAGGCAGCTGCATGGAATGGTAGATAGCATTTTGGCAGCTTGGTGAGGGGAGAAGGAATCTTTTTCTGTTAACTAAACTTGCTTCAGGTTGCTTATGAAGCTGCAAGGCATGCTCTGCTTTTGCCTCTACCTGGAAGAGGATCAGTTTTATTTGTTGTTTGGAACGAGAGTTTTGAGATGCTAAGAATATCTGGAAGAGTTTTGCCTTGTTATTGGAGTTAAAGCTAATAACTCTCTCTTTTAGAGCCAGGCTATGGGACAGTCGAAAATTCTTGATGGCTAATTATTTTCAGGATAATGGAGAAATTTCTGAACCCAGCGCTGAGATGAACTTGAGTTTCAGGAGAGTTTTATATAGTGAATATATATATATATATATATATATATATTATATATATATATATATATTAATATATATATATGTATATTATAATTTTGCATGAATTAGTCTGATAATGGAAATACTTGAAAAGTATTCTAACCACAAGTCAGGCAAATTTATCTGTAGGAAGACTCAAATGTATACCTTGTGTACCTTGTATGAAAGCTACTTAACTATTATAATGGGTCACAATACTGTGGTTTAGGATTGAACCCATTAGTTTAGAGTCAGTTATTTGTGTGTGTGGTACAGGAATAAATAGGGATGAATGTTGTAGGAATGGATGTTGTATACGTAAATATACAACAACAAATAATGCATGTATGTTGTATAATTATGGATGAATGGAGTCCATAAATGCAAATGCGAATTCTTACCTTACCTATGTTTACAGCTAACAGACATGACCATTCCAACAACAGATGCTACTCCACTCCGTATGCATAAACTTGAGGACCAGCAGTTCAGTGATGTCATTTAACTCTAGAAAGAAGAAAACATACAGAGGGTTTAGATTCAACTGATGGCACAACAGAAAATTAATGAGACAAAAGATCTGTTAAAGAGCATTCTTTGTCAAATGTCCTGCATGATCAGGATTTCAAGTCTTTAATTAAAATGATGCGATCTCAAATAAAACTAAAGCTGCTCTCAGACATCAATGCCAGGAAATGATGGGAAGATCAGGGTTTAGACATTGTTCTAAAGTCTCACAGCTAACAGGACAAGGGTTCATGTGTCCAGCATATATGAGGTCGGACACTCGTTGTGAATTCTCCTGCTCTGTTCTCAAATGAGGACATCCAGACACTATACTGACTTTCTAGAAGGGAACCCTCAGAGAACCTGTTAAATGTGTTAAAATGAAAGTATTTAATGACCTGAACTGACTGCATTTGATGCATAAAGCAAATGCATGCCGAATATCACCTAGAAAGGTTTGGGCTGCATTGCATATGTGATTATATTTTATAATTGGCTCCCTCTAGACTTCCATATGTGAACCAAATGTTTACCATCCAGCTTAAAATAAGATAAATCACTTTTTCATTAGCATTTTTTGTGTGCTTTTGGTGAGATTCATTAACAGAAGTGATTTATGTTTGAGGACTAGTCCATATGGATGATTGCAAAAACAAATGCTTTATAGAAGACTTTCATCATGTGTACTTGGGTGTTTTAACTGTTTTCTGCAGTCTAGGCCCCACAGCTTTCAATCTACACAGATATCCTGACAATACAGCCATCCACTCTGTATGCTTTCATTTTCCTCTTCTCTTTAGGCCTCTCTTCATGAGGCACATCCTCTGCTGGTTAATCACAAGTCTTTAGACATCATTAATCCTTGATTAAAGAAGATCAATCCCAGTCTGAGATCAAAGGTTATGCCAGCTAATTAACACATCAGAACAGGACTAATACGGTCATGTTTGAACAGCATGTCATTGATACAGACAAGCTAATTTTCTATACACATCAAGCTGAAAAGCAATGACTCCACCTCACCACCATTTTGCAGCCCTATTTGAAGCCTAATTAAGCTCATGGTTGAGAATAGCCACAGATGTGAAATGATATAACATAAAGGTGTCAGCCTAGCAGTGACAAAAGGTTTAATCGCCATCACATGGCTGTTTGCCCTTTCGTGGTAAATGGACTGGTTCTTATATAGCGCTTTTCTACTCTGTCTGAGCACTCAAAGCACTTTATACAACTAATTCATTCACACAATCACTTCTAAGCTTAAGTGCTAAGTATCTAACATTCATACACATCCATACTCCGATGGATGCATCGGAGAGCAACATGGGGTTAGTATCTTGCCCAAGGATATTTGGCATGCAGCCTGGGATCGAACCGCCGACCTTCTGGTTAGTGGCTGATCTGCTCTGCCACCTGAGCTACAGCCACCCCACAGCCACCCCCTTTCAGCCCTTTCAGCTTCAGCAGCATGGTTTAGATGGAGATTCTGAGGCTTACCATGCACTGGAGATCTCCCCTAAAAAAGACTGCACTTTTGGAGGATAGAATGAAACAAATGGAGCTTGATAATCTCTGTCAACAGTTAGAAGAGGACTCAGGCTGATTTGGAATATCAGCAACGTTAGACCCAGGTGAGAGAAGCTCAATGAATGCAGGAGGAGGCACCACAGGGCAGGGAGACCTTAACTAAGCACTTTGACAGGAGTCACCGTTTAAAGGAAGCAGAGAAAGAGTTGGAAAGAGCCAAACCTCTTACTTCTCTCCTCAAGTCAGAGATGAGCGATATCTCACCAGAAATGCCACAATTTTCACAGACAGCTTCCGTACGCTAGCTTCACCCTCCCAAATAAGGACAGGGCATGCTCAAATTGCTATGAGTGTCCCCCAGTTTACCATAATGTTCCTACCAATACTGCTAAATGGGAACATCTGTCCCAACACCTGCCGCTGGGCTACTGGCATTATTCATGAGAGGTACCCCTGCGGCCTCTGTACAACACCCACTGGGTCCTGAAGTTATTTCTCCAGGGAGGTCAGCTGTGGCTGCATCTTCAGCTACTCGGTCACCTGGCTTGGCAAGGCAAATCGACTCTGGACCTTTGGTGTCCATCTCCACATCCGCGAGCATAGCACCAGTCCCACCGGTGGCTCAGTCTGTTCAGTTCAGTTCAGGCCAGCCTTCAATCATCCCTACTCTTCAAACACTGCCGGTTAATGCTGTCTATCCCTCCATACTAGTCATATTCCATCCGCTGGACCAGAACTTCTAATTGCTTCTGTTTATGGCATTCCCAGACCTACATTACCGGTATTTGAAAGTGGAAGGGAGAGTGATTTTGCTCTACTCAAGATGGCATTGGACGACCTGCTGAGTAGTCACACCCACCTTGGTGAGCAGTATAAGTATCAGGTGTTTCTTAGCCAGGCATTTAAAACTCCCTAGTGCTTTACAAATGGCAAACACAACTTGAACTTCCGGCTTGAGTCAACGCTGGTGCATCTGGCTGTCGCTACTCACTGGTACATTTTCGATTATTTGGATTATTTGGATTCAGATTTGAATGAAAAGGGACATTCACACTCAGGCCAGATCAATCTCTGCCAGAGATTGATTTGTAACAATTTTCCTCAACATCTGCTATTTCAGCTGAATGTGCTCTGACATCTTATTCCCAGTGAGCTGCACTAGCTTAACTGTTTGAGCTATTTTAGACTACCCATTCATCGCTCCGGCCAGCACGGCTCCTTTTCCTCCACATCGTCCAAGATGTGGGCGAAGATGTTTTTGAGCTGGTCGGCACTATTGTGGATTCTCCTGATACTCGTCTACCATCATTTTTCGCCAGCATCTGAAAGTCCTGCCACTGGTTGTTGATACCTTTAGTTCCCTTGAGCGCCTTACATGTGAGCTGACTGGACCTATTCCCACCATCATAGCTACTGTATAACACCCCCCCCCCAAAAAAACAAAACAAAACAAAACCTAACCCTGCCTTCCTCGGTGACTTTGCTAATCTACTAACCCATCTTTCATCTCGCTCCCCAAATGTTATCTTGGTGGGAGATTTCAACATTCATATGGATAATAATGACCTTCTGCTCACCAGAGACTTTTCCTCCTGTCTCGAGGGCTTTGGTTTTAAACAATTTATTGACTTTCCCACTCACTCCAAAGGACACACCTTGGACCTGATCTGCTGTCCTGGTCTTACTCCCTCAAATCTTTCTGCTTCTGAAATTCCTATAACGACCATTTCCTCCTTTCATTTAACCTCACTCTCAGCTGCTCTTCTACCAAACCAACCCATCTCATCTCGTTCTGCAACATCAAGAACATTGATATGGACATTCTCACTACCAGATGGACAATATTCAGATTCCGGACTTCTATTCTACTCCTGGTGATTTGTTGTTATATTATAATAATTGTTTACTCAATGTCCTTGATTCTCTGGCTCCTGTAAAAGCTCACTCTGTTTCCTTCGCTCGCTCTGCTCCCTTGTTTACCTCTGACCTCCGAGCATTGAAGGCCAAAGCTCGGCAGCTAGAGAAAGAAAATGACACCAGGTAGATACAAGAAATCTGGTTTAACTGTTGATGCAGAAATCTACAAATTCCATGTACTTCAGTATAAAGACTCCATCAACAAGGCCAAACAAAGTTTCTACTCAGGTATTGTCAGTTCTTATGAGGGTAACGCAAGGATTTTGTTTTCAGTTCTCAAAAAAACAAATTCAACCCCCCAGCGCTTTACCACCACACTTCTATTCTTCTGAAACCCGTAACTCCTTGATGCTGTTCCTTTAGTACAAAAATTAATAACATTCACCAGCAACTCAGTTCAAATGTTGTGTCTATCCCCTCTCCAGAACCTTTTCTCTATTTTGAGCTGTTTTCCACTTTTCATCTTCCTTATTTATCTGCTATTTCTGAGTTTATATGTAGGTCAAAGCCTGCCACATGTCATCTTGACCCCATGTCTACAGGGAAATCCTGCCTCTCTTGCTTACTCCCACTCATCTTTGCTATCATCCAGTCTTCACTCACCAGCGGTATCGTTCCCTCTTTATTCAAGATTGCTTCAGTCACTCCCATACTGAAAAAACCTTCTTTAGACCGTAACAACTTTAACAACCTCCGTCTGATTTCTAATCTGCCCTTCATCTCTAAAATACTCGAAAAAGTAGTTGCAGCTGAACTTCATTCACACCTGGTTAATAATAACATCTACGAGAGATTTCAATCTGGTTTTCGTTCATGTCACAGTACAGAAACTGCTTTACTTAAAGTCACTAATGATCTTGTAATCGGAGCTGACTCTGGTCTTCTCATCATTCTCATCCTCTTGGATCTGAGCTCAGCCTTCGACACCATCTCTCCTTCCGCCCTTGTAAACAGACTTTCCTCTCTCGGCATCTCTGACACACCCCTAGCCTGGTTTCAATCATATCTCCTTGACCGCTCCCAGTTTATTCAACTGAAATCATTCTGCTCTTGTCTATTCCTGGTCACTTCTGGTGTACCCCAAGGTCCAGTCTTAGGCCCTCTTCTCTTCATAATATACATCCTCCCTCTGGGTACCATTTTCCGCAAATTTGATCTTCACTTTCACTTGCTGATGACATCCAGTCATATTTCTCCTGCGGACCTGATTCCTCCCTCCCACCTTCTCTCTAACAGAATGTCTATCTGAATTTAAATCCTGGTTTAGCTCTAATTTTCTCAAGCTCAATGAGGATAAAACTGAAATCCTCCTCATTCTCACCAAATCCAACCTTTCGAAGGCGAACCGTTTCTTACTCACTATCCATAACTAAGTTTTCCCTTCTCCTCAGGTTAAGAGCCTTGGTGTCATCCTAGACAGTTCACTTTCCTATAAATCTCACATCACATCTATTTCCATCTATGCAACATTAACAGATTGCTTCCTTCTCTTTCCACCCAGTCTACGTCCATTCTTGTCCACAGTCTTGTTACCTTCCGTATTGACTACTGCAATT